CTCATAGAAGTAACTCTTTTACATCAAATAAGTTATGTTACGATATTTATTACTTACAGCATATTAGATACATATTATATTGTATATAACAAGATTATGAGGACAGAGCTCATAAACTTTCATTTTTTACAAATATTTTTCACTGTGCAATTTAAACACAAAACAATATTCTTAATATTAATTATGTTATGACATTTTATAAAATATCAAGATCTTTAAAAACTTTTACACCTGCAATTAATTCCTTTGTGTATTGTTTATGGTAATTATGAGATGTTTTATTGTACTGATTACCACTGATCAGCTTAAGTTATAATTTTCCTATACTGAAAATGTAATTCTGATACAGTACTTCCTTCCTCTTACAAGATTAGCTGGAATCCCACATTGTTTAGTAGGAGGGACCACTGCAACGGAAGAACAGACATACCTCCTGAAAGCATCTGAAGGACACCTCTGTAAATGAGAGAGTCAGATCTTCGGTCTGGTTTTGGATTTCGAATGAACCAATCAACATAATCCCTCATAACATAAGTTTGAGTTGTATATCATCCTCCCTCGATTCCTCCTCCTGTGTTGCGGGTCACAGCAGAGATATGTAGAACTGTTACGGTTCTTTTCTTAGCTTTCCTCATTTTCTCTTGTTATGTGGATGTTGTTGCTTTTTGGATGATCCCTACAATTTTTATGATCACGGAAGTTGATTGCATGCGATAGACTTCCTTTTGATACCAGATCAAATTCCCGGATCGATAGCTCAGAGCTAAACCTATATAATACCCAGGAAACGGAATGGTTACTAATTCCCCGGTTCTAGAGTTTGAGGTGAAGACTGTACAATCCTCATCCTCCCCTTGCACAGATGTCAATACCCCATAAGGACATTTTGGATGTTGTTAACATACCAAGTATGGTCTGCTGCCCTCTAGCCACTCTACACAATGGGATGCACCCTTGTTTACCCACTTTCTTCATGTGGGATTCAGTTACTGTATCTTTCTCTGGTTAGGTTCACTTTTCTACCACCTTCTCTCCCATTAGGATGTCCTCCTCTCATTTTTCGCCCTGATTTTTTATACGTTCCACAACATGGCGAAAAGTATACCTGGATCAGAAGTGGTGCGGTTCCCTCTTCTGGGGTACCGACATCCATGTGAAGGTAGGGCTCCCAATTGAAGGGGTGAACTGCATGTTGATGTCTCATTGTATGTTTAATTACAATTACAAATGAGAGAATATTACATCATCAACACCAGCAGAACACAGCCGCTCTACTCTGAAGTGAAAGATTATAGCCATCTTACTTGGAACCCATCCAGCAAGGAGCCTCCATAATGAACCACCCCAATGGCTTGGAACTTGGTAAGGACTCCCACACTTAACTATAAGAAATGGGGTGGGGGGGCTGAGAATACATTGGATGGCCAAAGAAATATCAACATCCCAGACAGTGCATTGGTGATCATAAAACCCTATCTGAAGAGCAGACCATATTGATTTTTCAATAGAAGCATGGCAGGATGTGCATCTATCCCCTTCTGCTTTACTCATAAAGTACATGGGTGGTATGGTCTGACAAGGCCAATTTATGAAGCAAATATCAAAAGGTTATTCACCTACAAGTGGAGCCATCGAAAAGAAAACTCTAGTCAACATGGCATACAGTGGGGATTTAGAGTTAAATAATACCTTGCAGGCACCACTTGGATAATGCTGCCCAATAACCTGATAACAAGGAGAACCAAAAACTCCAAACTCAAAAAGCCATTTGAGAAACTCCAAGACACCAACAATAGTAGGGTGAGTAGGGAAATCCCTGAGACTGGGCGCATGTGTGAAAGATGTATCACTTTTGCTGATACACTTCACCTCCCCAAGGACCAGACAAAAGCCTGGCACAAAGTGCAGGATTGAGAACTGGTGAATGTGGTTGACAGAGGAGGTCAGATAAAAAGAGACATGGTACAGGAGAAAATAAATGTAGTTGGAGTAAATGAAGAAACCATGGTTGAGCCAGCCAGTAAGGAGCGATCAGAAGGATCTAGCACGGAATGGTATGGAGAAGGGAAACTACTAGATGAAGCAATTGGACAAGAAGATAAACATATAGGAATTTGTGTGACCAATTTTGGCTGAAGGCATCAATCGCTAAAGCCCGAGGATGAGGTACTAGGAAGGAAAATAAAGGTAACTGGCGAATAAGAGTGGTGGCAATTGCATCAATGTGAGGAAAACTCCTCAGATTGCAAAGCCACCAGAAAATGAAAGGATGAAGGGACCACTCCATCGGGTAATTCTTGTCAAGGCAAGAAAGGCAATCCACCATGAGGTTGAAAGCACTCGGGACATGACACGTAAAATATTAAACGAATGTGTTGCTTGTGGGCCCAAGATAGGAGATCCATTATGTGAAAACAGAAGGAACCAGGTGCCAACTTAGTTTTTGATATAAGCCACCACTCTGGAATTGTCGGAATGAACCACTACCAGACAATGTCAGGCAATGGAAAAAAAAAGCGATCCAAAGCCTAACGAATGTCTAGGAGCTCCAGGATATTGATATTTAAAGAATGTTTGTCTACAGACCAAAAATCCAAGTCTCCTGGTGATTGACCCATGCTCCCCAGCCATGAAGGCGCTGCCCATAAACAGATGTAAGTCTGGACGAGGAGTAGGAAGCAGGACACCCGCCAATGTGTGAGTCTTGTCTAACTTCCAAAGAAGATCATTTATAAAAGAAGGAAGAAGTGTGATGGAAGTATCCAAAAGATCCAGAGTAAGTTTCCATTGATTGGGCAGAGTCCACTGAAGGGACCACAGATGGGCATGGCCAAGGGGAATTACCAGCATCATAGAAGACCACATCCCAAAAGCAACAGAACCTCACAAGCAAAAAGTGAAGGACAAGACAGGGTGTGGCAAACTGACAATTCCATTGAAAGGAGATGGAGAGAAGATGGTGGGGCACAATTGAGGTGAGTGTTGAAAAAGATAAAAAAGTACAAGGTATTGGGTAGGGCATAGGAAGAAGTTCTCAAATTTTATCAACCATCCCACCTGAGCAGCTTCAAGAAGGATGACTGGCCAACTGCTGTTTGTTTGGAATGTGCCAGAAGAAGCAAGTTACAATCCCAGGAAGACCAAAGGGAAGTCTCCTAAGTTGTCTTCTCCATGGGAAGGTCCATATGACATAGTGGATTGTCTTTCAGATGTGACTTTCCAAATAAAGTATGGTTGGCAAGGTAAGCAAAAGATGTTGCATGCCAACAGGCTTTGGCATTATCACGGTCCAGGACATTTCAGTTGGAACGAATGGAACAAATGATGCTGCTGAAGATGTGTCACCTGAAAAAGCCACTGTCAAAGAAGAAACTCCACCCTGTTTCGAGAAGGAAAACAGTGAAGCCATTAATGAAGTTACTACCACTGATGTGACTGCTTGAGTTTCTAGAATTATCGGGGAACCTTGCAAATGTCCGAGTGTTTGCTAGATGCCCTCTTTTTTAGTATATAAGCCTGGCGAGAAAAACCAGTGCAATTGCAGAGATAGATAGAGTGAAGAGATAAATAATTGAGTCAAGCGAACAGTAGGCACCACAATTAAAGTGTGTGAATCACTGTAATTTATAGCATGTGTTATAAAGGTTGTAAAGTTTAAAGTGACTGTGGAAATTCTGTGTATTACAAGAAGTTTGTATCAAGAAAGAATAAACAAGTTTTAATCAAAAAGGGACTTGTATCGCTGAAGTTCCTCAGAAAGAAATTATACCAGAAATTAACAAACAAGCAGATACTTAACAGTATGTTATACATGTAAACTCAAATTTTAATAGAAGTATTTTTATCAAACATTTCTCAATCAATTTATGTAGTCTTTACTGAGTCAGTCTGAGTGAACAGAAGGATTTTTGGGACTTTAGAAAGCAAGGCTCAAGTTCTATCTGTACCAAATCATTATATTTTATCAAAAAACTAATCAAAGAATGAAAGCTGATGTATGTTAGTTAAAACTAAAATATATATTGAATATTATGTATGTTTGAGAAATATTAGTAAAAAAATGAATATAATTGAACAGAACTATAGCCTGTTAAAAGCTAAAAACACAATCAATTTGAACATTATTACCAGTGACAATTTCTAGTGTCAAAATTAAACTCTGAGGTAAAATATTTCTAAAATGATACCACCACTGGTAGTACTAACAACAGCATGAAAGTAAAATGTAGCCGATTGTGACTTGCAGTTCACAAAGCCTACGTATTTGCAGATCAGTCCCTTTTAAAAGATATCAATGTATAAGGAAACTGTAGCCAATGTGAAGCCTTATTAAACCATCTTCCTCTCTACAGTTACTAAGTAAAATAGACAGCCAGACAACAGTATTAGGCTTTATATAGAAATGTCTGTTTTGATGTTTCTCAACACAAATCAACTGTCAAGTGAAGCGTTGCTTTGATTACAAGCTTGAAGTTCAAATAAAGAATAAGCATGGCTGTTACTTTTTCAATATAGTGTGATTTTGTAGTGTTAGCAAGCTCATTCTCCAGGCATACCAACATGAGTGGAAATAAAAAAACTATATGGAAAAAGGTGACAATAAAAACTGAGCCAGTCTATTCTAACTGTCCAACATAACTGGGTGAGAACTGACAATAAAAGAGCTAAGCAGTCAGTATAGGTTGTACAATTAGTGTACTGGTTAGTTTCTACATGATCTGGAGCATGTGAAATGATATATAACTCACCAGTGATCTACAGAGGATATCACGTGAGAAATAATGCAAAGTGGTAATAGAAGAATGGTTTAAAAACTATTCTGAAATGAGAAGTTGGAACTTCCATTTGGAAATATCTGATTCCTTCATACATGGAAGTCCTAAAACAAATAACATCTTGGTAATCCTATTCTACATCACCTGCAACTGCAACAACTCCCACACTGATCATTCTATCAACTGAACTACCAGTGGTAATGTAGTAGTTTTTGCTAGTTCAATTCTTAAAAATCCAACCTGTCACAACAAATTTTATATATATAGTACATATAGTTTTGTGTTATAAAATACAAAATGTAAAATATTGTAATTTTGACTTTTTGAAATTTTCTATCTACAACCTTCTTTCTGTCACATAAACACTCTGTTAAATTATTGCATTTATTATGTTATTACCTGAGTAAAGAAAGAAAGTCAAGGTTAAAATATTAGATATATTTAGAATGAATTGATAAGAACTGAGAATATAGGTTGATAATCTATATATATATATGTGTGTGTGTGTGTGTGTGTGTGTGTATATTGAATGTATTAATGTATTAAAAAAAAAACTTTTATTTCTGTCAGGCTCAGCTTTGTTGATTCAATACAACATGAAATAATTTATGAAAGATACATAACACAGTTCTCTTTTTCTGAAACTTATCATAAAATTTGTATGTAAAAATGCATATTTCAGACGTGTGTAAATCCTAAACTTACCCTTTAAATAATAGTTAAAGTTTAGGTATACTAGTATAATTATAAGAAGATTTCTGTTTGTTTTTTATGTGTAATTACAAAACATGTAATTAGGATAGAGTTGTTACTGTTAAAACTTAAACTAAAGTATCCATGGGACAGGAAATCAAATTATGATGGAACATCCTGGCATGATGAGACTAAGACTAAACTAAAGTTAAAAAGGTAATACTAATAGTCACACTATTTTTAAAAAATACAAATACTGAAATAGTTGAAATATCGTAAAGAACACCATATACATAAATTCTAGGCAAGTGTACTTCCTACTTGATAATACAAAAGCTTCTTCTTCATTTTTTATCATCTTGCTATCGAACAAATCATCCTCTCCACCGGAAAAATTTTAGATTTAATCTCCAACAGCAACACTTCCATGGTTACATAAAACGAGAAAACTTCTCTTTCCTCTCCAAATATATGTACTTTACGTCACTGGAACAATGAAAAACCGACTGAAACAAACAAATTTATAAAAACACCCTAAAACACATGGCTAGTACTTTATATGAAATATTTAAATGAACTTTATTTCATTCTCAAATGTACCGTATTTTTCGGAATATAAGACGCACCCTTATTTTGAAGACAAAGTTTTGGGGAAAAAAGCCACAGTCACATTTGAAATATTTTTATTCAACAAAAATTCAATTTGATACTTTAAAAATTAGTATATATTCTTCTAAACCCAAAAGAGCTCAAAACATTAAAATAAGAAATTACTGTTACGTCTGTGTTCGTTTGTTAATTTTCCGTGAAAATTCTTTCCGAAGAACTTCGGCGAAACAAGTCCTTTCTCAAATAAAACTAGTTTATTTTTTTTCAATTCAACTTTGCAATACACTTAACTTCCACAGTCACTTTCACACACGCTATAATTCACAACGAACGCCTCACGTGCTCAACAATTTTCTCTCTCCGCAGTTCAATTACCCATCATCTTACGTTGCTTCTTGGCCGGACTTATATATACAAGACTACACCAATCTAGTAGTCTCCCGACATTTCATGAAGGTTCGAGAAGGAAGTGGCGTGATACTAGGCGTGACCTGCGTTGTCGTAACACTGCCTCTTCCTTAGT